CGACTGAGGTGCCCTTGAGCAAGGCACCGAACCCCCAACTGCTCCCCGGGCACCGCAGCAAAAAATGGCTGCCCACAGCTCCGGATGTGTGTTCACGGTGTGTGTGTTCACTGCTGTGTGTGTGCGCTCTTTGGATGGCTGACACGGCAGAACCTGAAAACACCGCGAGCGTCATCCGCGCTTTAGTATGTGTGTAGTAAAAGTGCGCCGCGCCATCTGCCATTCATTCATTGAGGAAATCATGGCGCCTTAAGCGTGATATCAGATGCTTCTACAGATTTATAGTATTACAATAGCATTTCACCTGAGCAGTTCTCCCTACTGTTTACGTTCACTTAAGATGTAATCAACTGTGTTTACATGAATACCCATCAAAACTGACAATTCGACATCATTTTGTGTGTAATTCTCTGTTTATGCAACTCGAAAGTGTACTCGCGCGCTGAGACGTGCTTTCTGTGTGTGTATGCTTCGGTGTCTGCGCTCAGAAAACCGGACCGAATTGAGTTCTCTCTTGTGTCGTCAGATTAATCCATATGTCTGCTCTTCTCTTACTCCCACATATTGACATTTTTGAACGTTTTATGCGACGTGCAGCAAGTGTATGTTAGCTTTTGTCCCGCCGGTTCATATGTATGCATCTAACCTCCGAACTACGCAGCAGATTCGTTCTGAATTAATCTCTTCCCAAATCGTCCCTCCCTAACATTTTCGTCTCGTTTTTAAATCGCTGACGAAAATGTCAATAGATTTACATCATAGTTTGTGTCAAAGAGAGTTTTAGTTCGTTATCGTCTCGTTGACGTTGGTGAAAAAAATTTCGTTGACAAATTATGACGAAAATTATTCGTCAACGAAATTAACACTGCACTGAAGTTACCACACCTATCCAGAACTCTCGTTCTAAACACAGCGCAGATGATAACATTTCCCGTCACCTCAATAAACCTCACAAACTTCAAACTACAATAACACAGGACAGCTATAAAGAGTCCATAAACAACAGGAGAGCCACAATCACGTAAAAAAAAAAAGTCTCACTCTAGCGGACACAGACCTCACACTGAGAAATAAACATGAGCACTACCATTCAGGCAGAGTGCAGGCAAGATGTGTGACAAGAACGATTAACTGGCGGTTTGCAGTCTAAAATCAATTTTACATGTACAAAAAAAGCCAGTGCAATGCCAATAGATCTGCCTTAATCCTATTTCCTTAAGATGCCTTAAAATCCACATTCTCAGATTCACACTAAAATAAATACAGTTCTTTCTGTACTCATGCACTCAGCCTTACGTTTGCTTACAAAAAAAACAACAGCAGTATATTCATCTTTATCTATCTTTGTGGTATAAGAAAAAAGATGCAGCAGACATGATGCTAAGGTACAAGACGAAGAAACCTGTCCGTGTCTCCCTGAAATTGACAATTCAGTTCTCATAAACTGCTGTCTGCAGGGGAGTTCATATGGTTTAGGAGGGGCCAAGAAAATAAATAAATAAATAACAGTGCTGCCTTGGAGCAAAATGTATTTTCTTTGTTTCAACAGGAATCCAGGGACCTGGGGGGGGGGGGCGTCTGAGACGTTCTTTATGTTGCAAGAGAAAAGGTTAAGAGACCAAAACTGGCAAATAAAGAAGGGGAAAGAACTGTCTGGAAATTTTGGAAATACATGCCAACAGACTTCGAAGACATGCCCTGGATCCGAGCGCTTTCATCCTGTCTGAAACCTGAGCCGTTCAGCAAAGGAAAAAAAAAAAAACACTCATCTGTGAGGCACTCAAAACCAAGAAAAAAAATCCATTATTGATCGTGTTTGTTGTGGGACAAAAAAAAAGAAAGAACCTGCCAGAGTGGACGGCACTTGGGCGGACACTGAGCTTCAGACCAATTTAAAGAGTAAAGAGGAAGAACCACATTAGCACAAAAGATATGGACACACTGACACCTAATCAAAAGCACTACCCACAAATCCCTGCAAATCACTTCAGATGGACACACGCATCACTGACTGACATCATTGGTATCTCACACTTTGATGCACAGGTCTGCACCACAATGGCTAAAACATCATAAAAAAATTTAAATAAGAGAATGCTTAAGCAAAAAAGACAATGTCAGCATCAAGCAAAAGTTTTACAATTCTGACCTTGGGTTGAGCGCGTCGAGGAAAGGCAACCTTAGGATCAATCTGTGCACAAACAGAGAAAGAAGAGAGAGAATGATGAGGAAAAAAAGTCTCATATGAATGCAGTTATCCAGGCCTAAATTCATCATAATACACTCTTTCATACTTCAAGAAATCATCAACACCATCAAGCTTTGGAATTACAAGCATGGATGGGTCATACTGGAATGATGACATTAACTCTTTGGCTTGTCATCTTGTTAATTTCAGTTTGTGTTCCATCTAGTGAAGGTGTGCAGACAAAGAATTATCAGAGAAACTATTTCATGCTCCAATGTCACACTTGCTTCAGCCTTAATACAGCTTCTTATAAAGAGGAGCTTCAAACAATCTCATACAGGCAGACGTAGTCAAGAGGAAAAACAAACAGATCGAAATTGGGCTCTTGCAGGAAATTACTTGTCCATGTTCAGCAAGGCAAAGGCTTTAGATTGTAGCAAAACTCCTAGTGTAGATTTGAACGTTTGCCTGAGGGCTCTGCAGCATATAAGTGTGTATCATTACAGACAAGCTTTCTAAATAAAACGCACACACACACTGACTGTTTCTTGCTGGACAGAATCCTAGGAGTCATTTTTTGCCTTCTCTATATGTGTGTGTTGTCCATATGTTGGCCATTTTAAATATAGATATGTCGATTCAATGTGCTGTGCACAGGGTAATTATTCTCTGAAATGACACACTGGTGTCCACTGAACTAAACCCTTTTACTCCCATAATTCCGTTTGACTGAGCTGTGATTGTTATCTCCCCAAATCAGGTCAATTAGAGAAATGGATTTTGTAACACCTGAGTATGGAAACCTTCTCTGTGATGAATTTTATGTAGCAATTCGTTTTAGCAATTAGCCTGAGGCTTAACCAATTCAACCTCAATTACTCCATAGAAACAAGCCTGTATGAACAGAAACAATATTACGCTTTTGAATTTCAAATCAGTAGAAATTAGGTGTCTTTTTCCGTACAGCCTGAGAGCAAATATCCCATTCTGATGAATGCACAGATAAATTGAGAAACATTTGTGTGTATGCTTGGTCTGTAAATAAAGGCTCCAGATCAACCTGATGTAGGTTTTTGAGTTTATGCATTTGCAAATGGTCCAGTAACAGTTATCTGATCAGATCTCCAATTAGATCAATAAGCTGCATCTATGAGGTCAGGACCTTAAAGGTCATCACTAATTAGGTCTATTAGTACAAAACATTTTTACTACCACTGCTGGTGCTAGATCAGTCAAAACAAAAGCAAAACCACTGTAGTCCCAGCCATTCAGTCAACCAAACTAATCACAAACAAAAAAAAATCTTTAAACGTAGTTATAATCTAAATCAAACAGCAGACAGCAGTTATTAAGCCAATATGTAATTTAGACTCAAGCACACATTGTGTAAATAAAGTCCTGTGTATTTCCAGATGAAGCAATTACTGAGCTTCTCCCATCTCAGCAGTAACCGTTTAATGTGTTGGGGGCCTTTTACTGCTTTCAGATAGAGGCCTCGTTTACATCTGGTATTAACATCCTTTTTGGCTGATCCAATCACAAGTGGTTAGCGCTAAATATGAAAAGAGGCTCAAAGCATTTTGCTACAGGATTATTCAAACCATTTTTGTTGGAAGTCAGAAACTACCACATTATATTTGTAAAGTACTCTTAGCTGGTTCCATGCTTAAAATAACCATATAATCATAAAGACAGCTTACTAAGTTTTAAAACACAGTCTATGTTTGTTTTTTAAATATGCCTGGTAGATGCATCCTCCACCAAACGTTCCTCTTCAAAAAGACATCACTCAAAGTGTTTACTGTTCCCGTACTGTAAGAAACTCAGCACTGATTGCAGGAGACGAGATAACAACCCCCCACTGCGATAAAAAGCTCACAGAAATCTAATTTCAGCTGAATACAAGCAACACACAGCACAGCCATGAAACCTCACTGCCAGTCATAATTATTCATTACCGTCAGATTTACAGACCGCGTCAGACACGCAAGTGTTTCTGGAGCACAGAAGAGTTGGAGAATGAAGACAGCGTGTGGCGTAGAAGCTCCAGGGGCCTCATGTATAAAACTTCACGTAGATTTCATCCTAAATGTGTGTATGCACAAAAGTTAGATTTTGCGTACGTACAAAAGTTTTCAGATTTATAAAGCCATGCGTACGCCAGAACCTGCGCAAAATTCCCTTTGTAATACCCAGTCAGCGGAAGATCGTGCGTACATGAATCTCCACCCCGCCTCCTCCCCGAAATAGCCATTTATGGAGCTTACAACGCCTAGTTTTAATATGCATAACGTCATCTGCCTATCATTGCCATGCATATTCCATCCACGTGACACCATGTTTAACACAGTTAAACAATATTGGGAAGAGCACGAAAGGGGTTATCATTAGGCTACTGTCTGTGCGCAACACCTGTGAACAGAGGTCCTACTGTCATCAGACCAATGGACTGTTTGATCAACGAGCGCATCCTTTCCATAAGCTCCAACCGTCTATTTTCCAAAGCCATCAGACAAAGTCAAGTTCACAAAAATTATCATTATTATTCGCGCAAAAGTATTTTCTCAGAACATGAGTTTTGCCATTTAGAACACAATTTAAAGCGGAATTGTCATGCACCAAGCAATCCTCGCTGTGATTAAAACATTAAATTGCATACCACAGGAAAATTGTTCGAAAGCAGCACATCCACTGCAAACATTTCTGTTTAAATTCATATAAAAATGAAATAATATTTCTGGATAATAATTTCATGGAATTTCAGTGCTTAACTTCATTATTCAGAGTGTCATATTTAATCTAAACGTGTATGTCAAATGTAAAACAGACTTTAAAATCATTCTGTTTGCTTCCTTATTTCGCTCCCTCCAGTAAAAGAGCGTGTACGCATGGTCTAGAGCAGGGGTGCCCAACCCCGCTCCTGACGATCGACTGTCCTGCAAAGTTCAGCTCCAACCCTAATCAAACACACCTGAAGCAACTAATTAGGGTCTTCAGGATCACTTAAAAATTAAAGGCAGGTGTCTTTGATTAGAGTTGGAGCTAAACTTTGCAGGACAGTCGATCGCCAGGAGCAGGGTTGGGCACCCCTGGTCTAGAGTGTCCGTACAGTGTGCACATATTTACGCCTAGTTTATTTTTTATAAATCCCGATATGTGCATGGAAAATGTATAAACGTTGCGTACGCACAAAATGGGCATGGAAATGTGCGTACGCAACGTTTATAAATCAGGCCCCAGGTGTTCGCCATAGTTTGTCTGACATTTAAGTTTTGTGGGGGGGTTTTCTACAAACATACAAAAAAAAAAAATCAACGCACAGCAGAGAAGTGTCATTTTCAGAATGCCAGCACACTGACTGATGTAACTATATATTTCTATTATGAATATTCACATTTTCAACACTCTAGGGATCATTTTTACAGTATCTTCATACTTTGATTTGAATTCTGTACAACTGAACAGAATACAGGAACTGAGCTGTGAGAACTGAGTTTCTAATTTAGGCTATAGAGCAGGGCTGTCCAAACTCGGTCCTGGAGGGCCGGTGTCCTGCAGAGTTTAGCTCCAACCCCAATTAAACACACCTGAACCAGCTAATCAAGGTCTTACTAGGCATTGTGTTGAGGCAAGTTGGAGCTAAACTCTGCAGGACACCGGCCCTCCAGGACCGAGTTTGGAGATCCCTGCTACAGCGGAATGCAAGATTATTATATAAAGACATGTAAAGGAAAATATCAAATCCATGTGAGATGAGTCTCAGGTGACTGTAAAAGGAAAGAAAGGGGAAATCCAGAGGTGTCCCTTCTGTTCAGAATGTTATCAGATGAGTTCATAACGGTTATATCTGAATCATTTCCAAGATAAACAAGGACAAGCTATGTTATATTATGTAGTACTTTAAGTATACATCATTTATATTTATATGATAAATGATGTATACTCATATTATACAGCTAGATACACATGTACAGAAAACACATATACAATGTCAACAAATCATAAGATTTACAATGCAGTTCTGGCCCTGTATGGCAAGTGGCAGTTCCGATCTCTTTCACACTGGCCCTGAGCCATCCATATTGTTAAGCCTGATATGCAAGTATGTAAAACTCTGTCGACTCAATCCGACAAAAAAGCTCACTTTTAAATAAAGATGCAGGAAATAAACAGAGATGAGAAAGGAAAAGAAAAACTCTGCGGGAAAGAACTTCATCTGAATGACATCTGTCTCAGTGCACATGCTCTATCCTCACAGTTAACAGAAACCAAACGTTATGAAGCGATACATACCGTCTTGGAGTCTAATTCGTGGTGTGGTTGTGCTAAGACTTTATCTACACTGGAAACATCTGCAAACGTGATGAAGCCAAACCCTCTGTGGAACAAAAACACAAAACACAGTGAAGGTCAGGAGATAACTCCACAGAAGAGGCAGAAAAATTGTGACAGCATACAAAGTGCTCTTGTATATTTGCTGATACACTCAGTGAAGGCAGGGGTGTTGCAATCATTATGACACTTCTAGAAATTTCCACTTGTTAAGAGATAATCACAACTTCAGAGTGTGTCACTGCTACACTTTTTTACACAAATTGTTCTTATGCCCTTGAATAAAGTATAGATATATAATATATATGCATTATACAAACACATGAAACGCATACAATGCACAGGTAGAAAATATAATAAACACTGTCCAGAAATATTGGCAGGTCTGGTCAGTCATTTATAGCACATCAGATATTTTTACAGGGGAAGTGAACCTTTAAAGCCCACTAAAAACTCAATTTAAATATTATTACTATAAATTATAAAGTAAATTAAATATTCTATTGTAATTTAAATATTCATATTTGACATGAACTGACAAAATTAAGTTTAAGAAATTCACCCACTCAACCAAAACCAACATTCTTCTTTTCTAAACCAGACTTCTCTCATTTTTAGGCCCTATAGCCCCTTGTGCATGTCTTTTTTTTCTCAGTGCAAGTGGGTAAAGTTCATGAATAGTGTTTTGAGCACAATTAATTCTGTTAATGTTTTTAGATGAGATTCAGTGGGTTCTTAGCCTGGTTTAAATTGAACAATAGAGGTCAAATGGCATCATTGCTTAGAAGCTCACGCTGACAAAAAGAAAAAGTTTATGAAATAAACTTAAATATTTATGGATTATACATAGTGAGGGTATTATTTTTTTCCCATTTAATGTAATTACAAACACTTTGTACAACATTTTTTGTTCTACTGCATCTCTTTGAAATGCCACTCCAGCGCTACAAATATTCCATCTTTCAAAAAAAATATGGAATATTGCTAAAAAAAATACTAAGAAAATAAACAAATATAAAAATTTGATTTATAAATCTCATCATTTTAAATTATTTTCAGTACTCGACCACTTTAATAAACAATATCATAAAAAATATATATATAATAATA